CCATTTTCACAGGAATGTACGAGTGTTTCTCAATTGTGTTCTTCCACAGTGCTGGATCGGACGTGCTGCTGCAAATGGAGACAACCTTATCCCTTGGCCACCCCTTTCGCCAGATCTTACACCATGCCATTTCTTTCTTTGGGGGTTCATTAAAGACAGTGTTTACATACCACCATTTCCCACGTTCATCCATGAACTTCGTGATCAGATAACGCATGAACTACAGGTCATTACAGCAGGCATGCTACACTGGGTCTGGAATGAGTCTGATTACCGTGTGGATGTGTGTCATGTGACCCAGAGTGGACACACCGAAGGTTTGTAATTAATGCATGAGACACTTGGACAGTTGCCTCCGCTGATGATGTATGTTGTGCCCTTCGAAGTTGAGAAATAAATTTCTTATTAACTTTTGAAACCACACAATTCTTTTGTGTATACCCTGTACATGTCTGAAATTTGCTTAAATGTAGATGAAAGTGTGCCATATCAGAATATGTTTTCATTTATTTACTGCCTTAGTTTAGAATTCTTTCGTGGCCTGTAGAAAGCAATAAGAAATAATAAAAATCAGAGTTAGACAATGATGTATGGCCCAAACATTGTGTTAACTTTTCTTATGTTAAAGAAATATGAATTTGGGACTAACTGTATTAAGGAACTTGCCATGATTTTCTCCATTTTATTTCAGATATGTTGGGTTGGTACCTAAGTACTATGCTGTGGCACATCATCTGTTATCTGTTTCTTTTGAAATCATTAATTCAGTAGTTGCACTACATGTCTTTATTTTTTATTCAATATGAAAATCTAAATGTTTCCGCTCACAGTCAACAGTAGTAAATATTTTTTTATTGTGTTAATGTTTACAACATTTGTCAGAAGAGATAAGATAAATACGACAAATATTGGAAGAATGATCATGGTTGATACTGCAGTTGGAAGTGAATGAACAAAATGGAAGAGAAGTTACATATGAAAGCATATCATTCACTGGTGTATTTACATCTCTTATGTTATAGCTCATCTACAGAGGTAGATACCGTAATTTTGGGTTAAAATATGAGTACACAGTCCCCAAGAAGAAACCTTTGCGAGTGCCAGAATACAATTGGATCTTCTCAGACTGGTCACCATGCTCAGCGACATGTGGCAGTGGAACACAGGTATCACATCCAGTGTGCCAAGAGAGGGAGGAAGGGACAGTCAAGGATGATCTCTGCAATAGCAAGACAAAACCTGACCAGCAGACACGTGTATGCAATACACACCCATGTCCAGCCAGGTAACTTGCATATAATTAAGAGTAATTCATCATTGTTGGGGATAGTTAAAAGACTGTTCCAACTCATGGGCTAAAATCAGAATGTGTTATTCCCTCTGGTGTACCGTCTACTACCTTTTGGTGTAGAGTGACAAAATATTTTAGCAAATCTGCTGTCATCAATTATTTCTGGATGGTATAAATACATATTTTGCTATTCAACTATTTTATCTAGGTTAGTAAATATATTGTAACGTGTTTCGTTACTGCATACGCCATAGAGATCGTTAATTGGTTTATTCAACAACCTACAAATAACGGCTACAATTAATTATCACAATGTTACAGGTTTCCACACTTTACAAACCCTACAACAAAATCTCTTAACACTATCTTCCAGAGTCTTCACGTATTAATAGCACGGGAGCTATACAAGTCTCGCTGAATTACACACTCCAAATATAACTGGTTATCACGAACTATCACTGATTCTCGCACACGCGTCTGTAGCTCGTAACTTGCGAACTGAGAACTCGTTGATAACACACTGACTCTCGCTTGCTGCTCAGCCGGCTTTTATTCCGTTCGCTGTTGCTAGGGTCGCCCGCCACGTCACTACTGTGACGTGGCGTATAGCCTAGCAACGCTGTTACCTCGCGCCGTCTTACGTCACCACGCGTTGCGCGTTACGTCACCGCGGAGGGGGGAGAGCGTTACGTTACCGCCATGTGCCGCTGTGGAGGTAGGGGTCCTCCGTTGCGCAACACGTCACAATATTTAGATCTAGTCTGGTTGCTTTCCGATATGAACTTTTTTTACCATAACCTGAAACAGCCTTTAGGAACCTCATTCCAGCTGCTTCAGTTTGGCTGTCATATTAACATTCTTTTAATTCTGTTACATACATATATTGTAAATTAAAAACAATGGGATCATTAAGATTTATATTATATCGTAGGTATTGAAATATTCTGACTTGTTCAACTGGTGTTTTTAAAAACAAAATGATGTGCTTTCAACCCGGTTTGGCTATTACTGGAGTTTTATCAGCAAAATTGAATGGTAATACTGCATTAGCATGTTCACTGGCCTTGGAGATTTATCCTTCCAAAATAATTTTAGGTACTATGTGTTTCAGGACAGTATAAAGTAAAGTGTGTTTTTCCCATGGAAATCATTAGGAAATCCTGAAGTGTGAAATATAGTTCCAATAATACACTGAAAAGAGATTATGAACATAACATGTACTCTGTGGGCATCAAATTGCTTGGAAACTGTGGCAGAAGATATCTGTTTTGAAAATAATGAGAGAGGTAAATGGTTTCCATCCCCTGGTGCCAAGGACTTTCACTGCCTAATATAAATTTTAACATTGAAAAATGCACATGAAAGTTTTATGAGAATTTTTCATCATTACACAGTTTCAGGTTATTAAATAAACTGTTGATTATTAACTCAATGACTGAACTTTAGTTTTGATCATGAAGAAGCAAGCATTTGTTTCAGTGCATCATGTACATCCTGTGAGTATTTCTAACATATTGATGGGATATGTGAAGTGTAGTATTTTGTATAAAAGAGGTTTGTTACAATAAATTATTTATGCTTGTCATTCTTGGGAGACTGCGTTAAACATGGGACTCGTATTGTTCAAAATCTAGGACCAGGAAACAATGTAGGAGAAAGCAAGCAAAGTTAATAATATCCAAGCTTATATAACAAGTGATGACGCTTGCTGCTAAATACTCAGTGGATGTTAGACTAGTTTTTCTTTACACTGCTCGTAGAACTTCTCATCTGTTTTTCACCAGACACATTAACTATAGAGAGTCTCCAGACGAAAGGTATCCAAAATAAAAAACGTATATCTCAGAAAATAATTGCCATGCACATATCTAGTTTATGTCATCGGAAAAGAAAACTGAGAAAGATTTTTCATACCTGTTTTATGCACATGCACTAGCTGGTGACCTTTGGCAAGCTCAGTAACTATGTCAGCACCACAATAACAGGTTCAATGCGTGTTATTGCTAGCAGAGTTACAATCTCGTGTGGTTGTCCAGCATCATTTTAGAACACAATATGGATGTCGAGCCCCTACACAAGAAAGGATTCGGTTCTGGTACAACAAACTGAGGCCCACAGGTAATCTGTTGCTTGTAAAGTCTCCTGGAAAGACACGGACCTCTGAAGAGAATGCCAATTGCATTAGAGAGGCTTTCCAGCAAAGTCTATGCAAATCAATTCATGGTGCTAGCTTGCAGTTATAAATTCCATGTTCAACAGTCCAAGATGTGCTACACAAAAAGCTCCACCCAAGAGCATACAAGATTCAAGTGATTCATGCACTAAAACCAAGTGACCAAGTAGTATGCACAAACTTCACTGTGGACATGCTAGAAAGAGTTGATGTGTCACCCGATGTCCTCCACCAAGCTCCATGTCACTGGAGGCATGTAAACTGGTGCAACTGCAGGATTTTGGGCAGTCAAAATCCATATGCCGCATGTGATTTTGAGAGAGGCAGCCCCCAAGTGAATGTGTGGGCCACTTTAATGCACGACAAATTGATTCAACCATTTTTCTATTTGGAGAATTGTGATCAGGTGCTCATACATGGACATGCTCAGGGCTGTATGCGCTGCCCCAGTTACCACCTCAGACTATCCTCCAAACAGATGGAGCGCCACCACATTTCTGCTACCATGTTAGAATCACCTGGACAGATGGTTGGGGATGGATGGGCAGAAGTGGACCATTTGCTTAGCATCCTAGGTCACCATATTGGATATTTTTCTTGTTGAGTTATGTGAGGAACACTGTCTACCGGGTTAAGATCAATGACCTTCAACACTAGAAATACCACATAAGAGAGACTGGCTACGGTAACACCAAACATGCTTCAAGTAACGTGGAACGAGATTGAATACCATCTGGATATTTGTCATGCCTCCAAGGAAACCCACACTGAAATTTATTGGGAAAGTTATATACTCAGAAAAATAACTTTCATAGTTTTCCTTTGTAATGGTGTAACCCATGAATGTGTATAATAAATGCTTTCTGAGATATAATTATTTTATTATGGATACCTTTCATCCGGACATGCTTTATATAAAGCTAATTTAAAACATCTGTCCTTGCAGCAAAATACCACTGTTACTCAGTGAAGTAGCCACATTACTAACACAATCCATATGCAGTATTGATGGAAAATAAAGTTCTGATTTCATTTTGATGATCATTGATAACTTCTTTCTTTCTCTGGTTACGTAAATGAGTAACTGAAGCTAAATTAGTTGGTATATACAGTTATTGGATGATATGGTTGGCAAACATATACAAAAGTATATGTGAGGAAAGTATACAAGCACATTTACACACATCTCACAACCTTGTGACATGACTGTCAGTGAATATGTTAGAGATCATTATGAGCCCACCACAGAAGTTGTCAGTAAAGAAGTAATTATATTATACACATGGCAGAAGATTAAAGTGGCATTGCAGTAATCTTTATTAAAAAGCTTTGGAATATGAGGTATGGCTGAAAAGTAAACTTGTAGATATACTGGTGATGCTAATGTTTGTTCTTGTTGCTTGCTTTTCACTTGAACAGTGTTTGTATGTTGACCAACAGAAAATGACTGATTATGTACACCTTGCTCTGGATTCAAGCCAAAGGTTGGATGGCTAAGTAATCACAGTCTTGAATCCCAGCAGGGGAAGAAAACCCTCTCTTCTCCACAGCATTCAGACTGGCTCTGGGGCCATCCAGCCGCTTAACCAATGGGAACCTAGAGTAAAAGAATTTGGATGTGAAGCCAGCAATTTACCTCTGTCTAACACTAAGGTTTAGCAGCTAAGAATACATGGATCTATGCATCCACTATCTCACATGTATTCATGGAGTAGTAAAGTAAAAGAAGCAAAGCTATCCCTGTAACAGGCCATGAAGGCCCATAGGGTTGTGAGACGTCAAGGCTCCCACATTATCTAGACCAGTGGTTCTCAACCTTTGTGAGACCGCGGCCCGGTAATTTCTTTTTCTATAAGACGAGGGCCCGGTATAATCGATGCCAGTGCCCGGTACTGGGCCATGGCCCAGCGGTTGAGAACCACTGATCTTGACAATCGGCTCAAAGATGGCGGTAAGGTTGTCAGCCGTACATGCCAGCCGTGCTTCACTCCCCAGGAAAACTATTTAATTAATTCTGGGTACTCATTTCTCTTAGAGGCTGAGTTGACCACAGGGCCATAGTGCAGCTGGAAAGATTTGGTCAATTGAAAAATCCAATGACCTCATCAGGACTTCAACCTGCGACCTCCCGGTTTGTAGCATAGTGCCTCAACCAACCACGCTACCACGTTAATTAATTAGGCACAGGGTCACCTTTTCTCACCTTACATCAGACCCTTTCCATTGTTTTTTATATGTCATATGTTTACACTGCACTGGTTCTGCACTATTGAAAATGTCTTACTCTTTCCATTTAGTCGGTTTTCTTTCTTTGGCGCTACAGCCCAAGTTTGGGGCTTGGCCTACCTCCATGAAGCTCTCTGTTTCACTTCGGTTTACTAGGTCTTAGACATTCAGTACGACTCCTTGGGTGGATGATCAGTTTGCCACAAGGCCCCTACCTGTACAAAAACACAAGAAAACGCACATACGCGATCATACACACATACACACACACACACACACAAACACACAAACACTGAACATCCATGCCCTGAGTGGGATTCTAACCCACAATCCCAGCTTCTGAGCGAGCGAAGGCAGTGCATGCCTTAGAGAGCTCTGCCATCGTGACCAGCCATTTAATAGGCTAGTTGTATTAAATTCTTGTACTCACTTAATCTGAACAATCTCAGTCAGTTTTATATCATGTATCCATTTCTCTTTGTATGTGCAACTATCTAATTTGCTAAGTAACTAATAAGACTTCCAAGAAAACAAGTCATTTACCTTATGATCTAATTTTGGTAGACTTCTCATCTCTAACTTATTTCCATAACTTTAATATTGTCCTCCCCTCTAAATCTGTCTACCAAGTGCTGTCTTTATATTAAGTCTCCCATTTAAATTTTTTATTTTTTTTATTTTTGTCGTGTTTGCTCTGTGCCACACTCAACTCAGCCTTCTTGATTCAGTCATCCTAAATAATCATGTGCAAGCATCTAATTTTTGAAACTGAATAAAGAAAAATTTGTCAATCTTCATTTGAAGATTTGAGAATTTTCTTGTAACTGCATTCACTTTTTGCACCAGCATGTAATGTCAGAAGGGATCAGCATTATATTCGTACTTTTCCAAATGTAAGACTAGATTCATCACTCCTGAATATAAGATTTTCATAATTATGGGTCCTCAAGATTAGAAAGATAAATACATATGCAGATGTGACATTATTACATGCTACATTTTACAGGATGGTTTCAGAATATCACATGTGTAAAAAGCTTCATATGAATATATACCCTGAGTGCCTTCCTTAAAAAGCTACAATTATTTAATTTCAACTACCACTATCACATCTTAAATATCTGATGACTGTAATCGTGTTCTTATAAGAAGAAAACAAACAAAAGGCTTATTAATAATTTTTTTTGTTTTCATTTTCTTACAAGAGGTATTTGAAGTGGCATTCATGTTTACAGACATGTAAACTCTCTGTGTGATGAAAAAACTTATAAAAGCATTTGAAGTTTCATGGTGTATTCTTCATTTCACTTGCAAATTGTTGAATCTGATACCACAGTTCCTGTCTTGTCTGTACTGTAGTGGGATANTAGTAAAGTAAAAGAAGCAAAGCTATCCCTGTAACAGGCCATGAAGACCCATAGGGTTGTGAGACGTCAAGGCTCCCACATTATCTAGACCAGTGGTTCTCAACCTTTGTGAGACCGCGGCCCGGTAAATTCTTTTTCTATAAGACAAAGGTCCGGTAAGATTTTCTGTGAGTAAATCGTAATATTACAATGCAGCCATGAAATATTCAAATACTGAATTTCAGATTAAAATGCTGCTCAAATCATAAATCTAGGACTGCAATTCATGTTTGCCTTCACTGTAGGTAAAGGTCTTGTAAAGGGCTGATCTGCTCTTCAAAGAGGCCTGTATTGTACTTTTGGAATCATGTTCCAGAATTAGTTATGAATGAGAACACACCAGATGACATAATCTGTAAGAATTGATGAGGAAGAATGAAATTGTATTATTCTTAATACAAGGATAACTTGTCTCTGCAGGTGGTGGATTGGTCCCTGGCAATTGTGTCCTGTGACATGTGGAGAACATGCCATGAGGAAGCGTACAGTAATGTGCGTTTTTCTCCATTCTGAGGGTGCAGATGGACGTGAGATGGCTCTTCCAGACAGAGACTGTGAAGGACAGGAGCGACCTGGAGAACATGAACCTTGCCCCAATTTACCACCATGTGCAATACCTTCAACATCCAGTTCTATTCAAGATTATGCAGCCAGTTCTGACTTTGTTTCTACTTCAGCACCTCTGCCAGAAGATGGTATCATTGTTGATGGTGATATCCATGAAGAGGAGTCTGAAATACTAAATTCAAACTCCAGTTTTGTGACATTAGACACTGATGACGCAATACAAGATGACGAGATCTTGCTTAACAGTATTAAAACTGACAGAACTTATGAAAATGTTGTACAGTTTGTGCACATTGGTGAGAATTCAACTGCACACACAGTGCACGATGGAAGGAGAGAGGAGAGAGTGAATGCAGGTGGTTGGACAGTTACACCTTGGGGTCCCTGCTCTGTGACATGTGGCTCAGGTATAAGGACCAGGAGTGTTGTGTGTCCCAAGCAAGAAGGCATCTGTAATCTTAACATCAAACCTAGTGTTTTGGAGTATTGCCATACTCGAAAGAACTGCAGCTTTGAGCAAAGACCAGGTGAGTTCTTGATTAACATACTGATTTCCACTCAGGCATACACTCTCATAATGCAAAGTTTTGCTCTGCAGTGCTTTAGCTGGTTCTAGGAATATTTTGTATTTTCTCCACCAGACATACTGAAGTTACCACAAAACACAATAAATTGTGAGAAATTAAAAGTGTGAGCTAGTCACATGAATGTGGAATTAAGAATGCAGTTACTTTTAATTCACAACATTTGTGAGTGTTTATCCATGGGTGCTTGGATGAAACATGCATTTAAATGTCCAGCAGTGAAATGTGTTACATCAACCAAGATAAACCATAGTAACATATTGCAAATTGTATGCAGTTATTGCTGTTTGTAATAGTGTCTCAAATAAAGTACACTGGGAGAGGATATCAGGAAAGAGTACATGAAAATGAGATTTGGAAACCGGGCTCTAAGCAAAATACAGCAAAACTCAGATAGTAGGTTCCAGCAATTAATGGAATTCTTTATCAGTCCTGATTGAAGCTTCAAGTAACTGTGTATTGTTTTCATGGATTTAAGGATTTAACCACATTTTACACATGAGGACTGTGTTCTTTCTAAATGCGTTTCTGACCTTGATTTAGTGTTGAAGGGAAATATTTTGGATGTTTCAACATAACTTGTTTGTGATCAGCCATGCATCCAATGTCATCAGCATTGAATGAAGTCCACTGTGAGAAAAATAAATTACGTAGTATGTGGAAAAGAAGTCCAATAATCTAGCAAGTCGATGTGAAGAAGTGTCTTTGGCTGCCTCCATCCTCAAATAATGTGTATTTCTGCATGCATGCTGCACACACATTAGGGGTGGCCAAACTTACTGAACATGGGAGCTGCATATGGTAATTTTCAGAAGTTCAAGAGCTGCAAACAGATGTGGACTAGGGGGGGGGATATTTTAGGTATATGCTTTCCATGCAGCATTTTTATAGTACCAACACAAGAAGAACAAATTTTCCCACTCGATCTGCACTAGATGGAGATGTAGTTTTTTTACTTCTGCTGTGATAATGGGGGTCCAGATGGGAGAGATGTCCCAGCTGTGTTGACTGATTGTATGGTCCAGCAGAGACATGTGGACTGATTCCTTGTATTTCCTGCATGTGGTGTTGGCCTCAATCTGCAAGACCTTCACTTTGTTCCAACATATTTTGTGGCTTCCTCATATGCATGTTGGACTCTATCAGTTGGGTCCAACAGAGTAGGTTTTACCTGAAGACAGAGACAGAATAAAATCTCTGAAACGTTCTGTTTTGGAAAACAAGCAGGACAATGTTTCTAGATAAACGTCCAAAAACATAATATTTGTACTAATGTACCATGGTCACAAACTTTTAGGTCTTATGTAAAGACATGCCACCATTTCAGTTACATTGTTTACAACTTTTTATTCTTTTTTCTGCTGTCTGTGCATGGCTCTCTCTCTGCTGGTGTACTCATTATAACCACACATGAAAGTGCTCATACTTCATTTCCTTATGACTGAAATTATGTCCAACAGCAAAGTGATTATCATCATCATCATCATTATTTTGATTATGAGTATTATTATTAAATGAGCTATCATGATTTACTTAATCTCAAATATGTCAGTATATATTCAATAACTGCTTTTGTGACAGAAATGGTGAAGCTAGTACCAATATCTAGATCGGAGGCAACCAAACAAAATGAATGGTACTCTGCAGTTTGAGAGAAACAAATGCATTCATGCAAGCAGTTGGTAGGCTATGGCAATGAAATAGAACATTATGGCTTCCTCCCCAGAGTTTTCAAGTCTTACCATACATAACCTTTCTCTCGCACCATTCAATGCTACAGTAAATCTGCAGTTTATACACCATTAGTAACAAAGCAACTATCCATCAATTGTTCAAGGTTTGTGACTAGAAGTTTTTCAGATTCAATTGATGGCTCCATTTCCCTTGGTAAAGATTACTTGAATGTTTTCACACATTTTATTCTAGCGTACTCAAGTTCACAATATATAATACATCCAAAGAAAAAGCTTCTTATGAGAAACGTATCAAAGCACCATGTTACAGAGTAAAATTACTTTCTTCCTGTCCTCTGAGTAATGCACTTGAGTGAAAATCATTATTCATGATCAATGCAGTGCCAGAATGAAAGTGTAAAAGTGAACAACTTATTTTGCTCATTTCTTCTGTCATTTCATGTTTCTCTACTTTAATATTTGTGAGCTGTTACATTAGCAAATAGTGTTATTTTTCTCTAATGTAAGTTCATACATTTCCTTCTTTCATAATTTATTTTTCACAGGCTGGAGCTTGGAAGTTCCTGCGGATTGTATGGACAAGTTGTTACCCAGCCTATGCAACTCATTCGAACACATGTGTTACACTTCATGGTATATCAGACAGAAGTGTTGCCATACTTGCAGGTAGCATTTCTGTAAAGATTCTGTGAATGTATGAATGATGTGAATTATTCAGTGTTTGTAATAAAGTTTTGTTTGATTCTGTTGTAACTTGTTATGGAATATTGCAGACTTCATAGACCTGTCAGCTGTTCTAAGAACATTTTGTTTTGGAAGGAATGGTATTAACAAATGAATTTAAAAACATAATAGACTTATCTGACAAGTTTTTGCAGGTTGCAAGGTTTAAATTATTTACTAATTAAAATACATATTTCCTCCATTTCAAAAGGAAAGACACTAACTAGCAAATGTAATTCTTAAGATAGAACAGTAATCAAGAGTATATTTTTTCCAGTTGCCTAGCATAAACAATGTCAATCAACAATACTCCTACTCAGAATCAAGGTTTCAATAGTTTAACTGCAGTTCAGCTGTAATTAATAAAATGAAATCCATAACGCAATAATGAAAGCTAATGTATGAAGTGATTACATTTTCAGCACTGAAGCAAAATGGTGCCTGATGGTTGTAAGAAAAGTAGCGGTTATTGACTAATGACAGTATTTTTCCAGGCACATAAAATGCAAATACTCCGAGCATATCTTCTTCTTCTTCTTCTTCTTCTTCTTCTTCTTCTTCATAAGGCTCAACAGTTTCATTTCTTGAAACCTTTGGCCTGCTCAACAATTTTCTTCCAACTACTTCTATCCTGTGTTCAAGTTATCCAGTTGTAAATTTCTAAATCCCGTAGATCTTCCCTTATGTCATCTTTCCATCTAATCTTAGGTTGGCCTCTATCTCCGTTTGATTTGTCTGACTATCCTTCGTTGAGCTTTTTTTAGCAGTTTGATTGTTCACAGTGCAAGGGAGCTGGCCTTGCAGCTAACCCCCGCTACCTTGGAGGACCTGAAATTTTCTGTCCCTTAGCCAGTGGGTTCTAATTAAAATATTATATTTAAGCATCCTGTTGCACTCTATACGATAAATGATATAATGATACAAACTCCGTCCCAAGTGCAAACAATATATTATGTATCCTTGATTTTGCTCCTTTACACTACATGTTTCGGCCTCAGACGGCCATCATCAGGTGTATAACACTCACGTTGCTGTCACACTGCACCCAGCCCAAAATTTAACATTTAAAAACACTTTCCTTGTTATTATCAACATCTACTTCGTTTATATCTGTCTGGTTTGTAGATTATTTTACACACGTTAATTTTGACTTTCCTATAGTAGCACTATAAAATCTTTAGTTCTAATTTTAAAATCCTTTAAAATTTTTCTCTAATTTTTTTTTAATTTAAAATTGGTAGGGTTACTCGCCCTATGTGTAAAGTGCTGCAGCAGCTAGTTCTTGTTTCCACACTGTATAGGTGTTATCCTGTGTAGTCTTCCTGTGTGCATGCCGCTGCTATAACACCTATAGTGCTACTACAGGAAAGTCAAAATTAACGTGTGTAAAATAATCTACAAACCAGACAGATATCAACGAAGTAGATGTTGATAATAACAAGGAAAGTGTTTTTAAATGTTAAATTTTGGGCTGGGTGCAGTGTGACAGCAACGTGAGTGTTATACACCTGATGATGGCCGTCTGAGGCCGAAACATGTAGTGTAAAGAGCAAGATCAAGGACACATAATATATTGTTTGCACTTGGGACGGAGTTTATATCATTATATCATTCCAGTTAAAACATGGGAAAATTGCTTTTCACCCTTCCATACAGTGCTGTTCCAAGGAACGTTGCCAAGGGATTATGATGAGGACATAGTATGTATAGGACTTAGCAGGAATAACTGACATTACTCAGTTTTTAGTGACATGCCGGCTGCACTTCCTAGGATCACATACTGCTCCTTTAGCCCTCACTCAGAGCATATATGTACCTGTAATTCAGTCTTCATTATAATATAGGCATATGTTCTACAGGTTGTTAACACTGGTCAATTTACTACCATGAGACTTTCTGCGTTGTCCAGGTGCTGTATTCAATATTCAGAGTATTTTGGTACTTGGTTAAAATCCTGTTTTCAGGTGATTCTTGTAATTACAAATTTTTAAAATTTACTTTTTCTGTATCTAGTAAACTGGAGGCTTTGTCATATCACAGAACTGTGCTGGCACTGCATCAACACTTTTAAATAAATAAACAAAATTACACCAAGCAAGGACAAATAGGAATGCAGACAGGTAGGTAGAATAGGAAATACAGGATATTAGTGAATGGAAAAGTGACATACATGTACATGTGGCCTAGTAGATTACCTAATATTTTCATAGTACATCTCATTTGTTACATTATATTGTTGCTGCTTACAGATTTTGTAGAGTTTAGTTAAAAAGTGAAGCTTTAATAGCCAACACAAGTAAATACAAAAGCGATGCCACAAGTAGAGAGGCCTCTATGCAGCCTAATGGAGGTAGATGGAAGATTTTGAAGATGTAAGGAGGCATCTGTACATGATATGTAAGGATGTACTGAAAAGTAATGCTTCATAATCATTTGACCAATAACAGAAATAGATAATATATTAAAACAAAAATTATTTTTATTGAACTTTATTCTGTGATGTTACACAAATGCCTCTTAACATAATCACCTCTGCAATACATACACTTCCACCAATGTTCGGGTAGTTTCATGGGCCCACCACAATAGAACTCTGCACCTTGTTGACAAACACTTCCTAACATCTGTCTTGACTTCATTATCTGTGCTGAAGTGTAGTCCTGCCAGATGTTCTTCAGTCTTAGGAAGAGATGTGATTCACATGGAGACAAGTGTGAGCTATATGGTGGGTGATACAAATACAGTGCTCATTTGCAGTCACTTGTATGCTAATATGAGGCCTTTCATTGTCATGCTAGGGCAAAATCTGTTCCATGTCAGGACAGACTGTTTGAGTATGTCTTATAATTTAGCAATATGAATTATGTCCCAGAAATCAGTGAACGTGATTTTACTGGCAGATCGTACATACTAGTGTGGGGATTTGTCGTTACTCCAATGACAACCCACTTCTTCGGAAAAGTTTGTAGGTCCTGAAAAGGACCGTTGACTGCTGGGATGTTTCGCCGGTGAAGTAGCACTACGTATGCCGGTAGAAAGAGATGTTGGTTGTGGTGTGTTGACTGGCCGCAGTGTGGCGGATGGTGGAAGTCTGGGTGTCTAGCGCGGTCGCTGGAGTGGAGAGGCGGTAGCTGCGCCAGTTGCCAAGTGAGTTGGGCATGACCGCCAGCTAGCTGAGGCAGCTGAGTTGCCCTGTCGGTCGGGTGTTATAAAATTCTGGGGCACTATCTCCAGCAGACTTCACTTGCACGTTTGCCATCAAGTCCATCACAACAGGTAAGAATGTTCCATGGAATCATGAACGTATTTTATACCTGTTACCAATGCATCTGTAATTCAAAATACATTAATGTGATTGAATTCAGGATATAGAGCACTGTGTCCGTACTAATGATCCTGATGTGCAGGAGATATGTGAAGAAGGTTTCTTGCGAGAAATTGATCAAAGTGAAAATATAGAACTCTTAGCATGCAAAAAAAAAAATCGAAAGACTGTGATTACATCCAGGTCGGTTGTTAAGGGACAACAGAATATTGTGCCCTAATGAGTATAAATGAAGTAATGTTGAACTTAAAAAGTACTACCGAAACCGGAGATGAAGACGAGTTAGAAAACTTTGGAACACGTGCTGCCGCTTAGTTGAAAAAAAAAAGAGACCTTTTTCGAAAGCTTTGATTTTGCAAAAGCAAATTCAATCGCTTATAACTACATATTGAATTACCCGTAGGCCTACAACATCAGGTAGATTTCGACAGACATCATAATTTCTACGTACTTCAAGTCAGAGTCATCATCTGCTGCCTATTTCCTCGCTTTTGTTCCCTTTCTCCTTCCACATGTAAATGGCTTCCTAGCTTCTAATTTTGTGACTTCAGGCCCCTGCTGCCAGGAAACTTCCCCAATGCAAATCATCCTTTAAATTAATATACTTTAATCTCGGTTTGGTTTCAGTTCGTATAAAGTACCTGGTAATAAAAAATCTAGCTTCTGGGATATAACTGCGTGTAGTCCGTTGAAAGTTATGATTTTGTTGAGGTTTTGTATTGGTCGTCGTGGCGTCTTTTCTGCTGGCTTTGCTAACACTATCTTCGATGCATTTCTCTCTGTCACTTTCGTGCTACCTGCCTGGTCCATTTCATCCTCCTCGACTAGATCATTCTAATTATTCTTAGCGAAGAATACATGTTATGAAGCTCCTCATTATGAATTTTCCTCAATCTCCCGTCACTTCATCTCTCTTCTGTCTAAATATTATCCTCAGTACCTTGTCCCCTAATGTCAGAGACTAAGTTTCACACCAATACAGAATCATAGGAAAAATAATAGGTTTGTATTGTGGGGCTCTCTTGTCAACGTGTGTGTAGTCTTGCCACTACTCCTATGACAACCCACTTCTTCGGAACAGTTTGTTGGCCCTGAAAAGGACCGTGGCTGCTGAGATGATTGACCGGTGAGGTAGCGCGGCGCGCGCCGGTAAGGAGAAAGGCTAGTGAATGGCGAGTGGCCTGGCCGCAGTGCGGCCGTGGCTGGAGGTTGCTTGGTTGCCGTGCGGCAGCGTGAGTTGGAGGTTGCTTGATCGCTGCGCGGCAAATGGCGGAGGTTGCTGCTGGTGCTGAAAGGCTAGTCGAGCGCGGTCGTAGGAGCCATGAGGCAGTGGCTACGCCAGATGCCCAGTGGGTCGGACCGTAACACGACCACCGGCGAGTCCAGGCGCGGTGCCCCAGTGAGTCGGGTGTGAGAGCGCTGGAGGGCCGAGGCAGTCGTGCCTGGCGCAGCCTGCCGATGTCTCCGAAGACCGAGCGCTGGCGACGAAGCCTGCTGGTTGAAGTTGCTTGCTGTGGCTAGCTTGTAGACTGGTGATGTACTGAATTAAACTGCATAACTCGACTCTGGGGTCGCTCCTTTTTATACGCTGGTCGGTGGGGCGGAGCCAAACTCGAAAGTGAGGAGCAAGAATTGATTGGCTAGCGCGCGTAATGGTGTAGACGCGGGCTAGCGCCGAGCGTAGTATAAATGCGATCGTTTGAAG